TATTTAGGTGCACAGCGTATCCGCAAGGCCCTGCCTGCATATTTAGGTGCACAGCCGTATTCTTTCCTGTTTGTCACTGGTCTTGTGTCTGTGATTGTGCTCAGTCAGCATCTCACAGCGGGGATGTGGCAGTTTTCTCATGACCTTTAGTACGGCTGATATTCAGCATCACTGCCCGTCACCCCCGTGCTGACTGTTGTGGCTTCTTAGGCCCTGTCTTTGCAGAGGTGCTTTACCCACAGGGCAGAGAATGTCTGCCTGCTTCCTGAAAGCTGGCCGTCCACGGGCACATGGCCGCTCTTCTCAGTTTCCTCAGCCTCCTGTTCTGAACACGTCTCTTCATTATTCCTGACATGAAGCAGCAGCTTCATAGTAACAGCATCTACTCCTTACTGTTTGCAGGCACTTAGTGTGTGTGGCACTGGGCCGGGTGCCCCTGCACTGGCTCAGGGTCCACGCACGGTCCTGTGAATCCTCAGGAAGCTGCAGTGGGCGTGGGGGGGTCCATCTTTGTCTCCCTGTCCCCTCCTGCCTTCACGGTGCCTGAGCCCTCCATGCCCTGAGCCATGACTCTTGTCCTCTGAGCTCACCCCAGCCTCGTTGGAAAGAAGGTGGGCCTTGCACCTGCGGCTTGTGGGTGTGTAGCTGGGGACAGGAGGCAAGGAGTCGGGCAGGGTTGAAGGTGGAGCAGGAAGAGGAACCCATATTTCCACCTTGGAAACCCTGAGGTCCTGGAAGCCAGGGTTCCTCTGAACAGCCTCAGGAGAGGGCCTTGCTAGCGGTGCTGTGCATCAGCCTTCCGGTCCCTGTACGTCTGCCAGGACTCCTCCTGCGCATGGACTTGGCTGCCGCTTCCCACCAGCAGAGATGTTTGTGTCTGCAACCCACCTGACAGCCAGCCGCCACGTGTGGCTGGGGAGGCAACCCCGAGTCTTATAAATGTCGCCTTTTTAAGTGGACATAGCCACGTGCAGGTCTAGGCTGGTGAGTCGTGACTGCTGGCTCTGACCCCCAGGCTGGCAGCAGGCATGTGCAGGTTGGAGCGTGTCCTTCGCCTGCCGGAGGGACGCCAGGCTGGATGAGAGCGTCACGAGTGACGCTGATGGCCTGTGCACGTTAATGTCCGTCAGCTCACTCTGGTTCTGTGTGGTGCTGTGACCTGGCTCAGTCCAGCACTGTCCCCTGACGGTTCTGTTGCAGAGTAACGAAATCACGTCCACCTACTGATTCTGAGCCCTGTAGGACATGGTCAGCTTGTTTTCAGTATTGGGGAGCTGGTGGTGAACCGGATGCCTGTGTTTGTAGGAATTAGTGTGTAGATGACCAGTTTCAAAGAATTAAAGCGTCAGTCGAAAGTTCAGGGCGCAGTGTTTGATTTCTGTCCGGCAGCCGTTACGGGCCGAGGCGGTTCAGGCTGTGGGCGGGCGGCCGGGCTGGCCTCGAGCCTGTCCCCACATGCCTGTGTTGCTTTGCAGTTGCATCCGCGAATTGACGCCCGGCGAGCGGACGAAAACCTCGGGATGCTCCTGGTAGAGTTTTTTGAACTGTATGGGAGAAATTTTAATTACTTGAAAACTGGTATTAGAATAAAAGAAGGAGGTGCCTACATCGCCAAAGAAGAGATCATGAAAACCATGCCCAGCGGGTACAGACCATCGATGCTGTGCATAGAGGACCCCCTGCTGCCTGGTGAGGGCACGCTTGGGGTGGCGGGGAGTGTTGGTGCGGGAGGTGGGGGCCCCCTGCTGCCTGGTGAGGGCACACTCGGGAGGGGGGCGTCGGCGCGGAAGTTGGGGGCCCCCTGCTGCCTGGTGAGGGCACACTCAGGAGGGGGGTCGGTGCGGGAGGTGGGTGCCCCGTGCTGCTTGGTGAGGGCTCGCTCAGGGGGTGTCAGTGCAGGAGGTGGGGGCTCCCTGCTGCCTGGTGGGGGGGTGGGGGGCATCAATGTGGGGGTGTCAGTGCTGGTGTCAGTGCTGGAGGTGGGGGCACTGGTTAGGGCTCACTTGGGAGGGCATCAGTGTGGGAGGTGGGGTCATGGGGGACTTGGCATCCAGGACCCTCCAGTGCCTGGTGAGGGTGTGCTTGGGGGCAGGTGTGGGGGGGCGTCAATGCAGGAGATGGGAGCACGGGGGTGTTGGCATCCAGGACCCTCCAGTGCCTGGTGAGGGTGTGCTTGGGGGCAGGTGTGGGGGGGGTCAGTGCAGGAGATGGGAGCACGGGGGACTTGGCATCCAGGACCCTCTGATGCCTGGTGAGGGTGTGCTCGGGGGCAGGTGTGGGGGGCGTCAGTGCAGGAGATGGGAGCACGGGGG